ATTTGAAATAAATTGCGGGGTAAAGGATTGTACAATATACGAAATGCAGATTTATGTTCTTTGCTTCTTATTTATCTATTTGTCATTTATTATTACTTTTTTACCTAATTTTGAAGTTTTCCTTATATTACATTTATTATGTTTGTTTAATTTCTCTATGATTTATACTGAACTCTCAAGATTTCGATAGTTTTGATTGATATAAATAAATAAATCATTACAAAATATTAAAACTTGATATTCTATGCAAAACTGCTAATTTAATTGCCTTGTGAATATAAAAATGGTAGTCATTAAATTATAACATTAATTTATTAATTTTTATTCAGAAACTTTATTTTCAACTATTTTTAGACAATTCGCATAAATATGGTATATTCACATGATATTTATTTTATTCAGGATTCACATATATTAAGTTATTCAATTTTTTTTTAACTTAAGTATTTAGTAACTACTAAATAAATAGTAAATGTAAAGATTCTCGTACATTTTTTACAGATATTAACTTAAAGTTAATAACTTCATTATAAATAGTCTCAAGAACTCTACAAGCATAAACTTTTCAACAGCCAACCTCTAAAATGCTAAATTTAAAAAGCTAGATGCTAAATTTTATTTTTTTGAATAAATCATTAATTTTATTAAAATTACTGACTTTTAGTAAAAACTCTCACTGTGTTATATTTTTGGATCTATGCTTTTCTCGCTTTTATTCATCAATTCTTCAATTTTCTCCATAATTATGTTGAAAAATTGCACTTAGGCCAGGCACTCAATAAGTTCGATTTGTTAATTTATCGTTGTGATATAAGCATACTCGTTTTATATAACATTTTCAGATATTTGATGGGTAGTTGTAATTGTGAAAAAATGAAGGCAAGTGAAAATAGCCCTTGCCCGCCATTGCTGCACCAATAAAAAGTTAAATTAGATTAATTCTAATAATAAAATCATCAAATATGGATGGATTAACCATTGGGTTACCATCTAATAATACGAAGTAAGAAGTTTTAGCCCAACAGCTCATAGGACTTTAAGGTTCTGATTGCTGTTAAAAAATAATAAAAAAAAAGCGACAATTTTCGAATGCGAAAATCAGCGACAAATTGCTTTTAGAAGAACGCGGAACACAAGGTAAATTTCTAGAACTGTCCCGGTCAATGTCCAGAAGTATGAACACCTTATAAAAATTTACTATATTTTTTTTACTTTTAAGGTCTATTCATAAATATTGTATATGACTTTCAATTATAGTTAGTAAAAAATTAAGAACATTAATAGATATTTAGATGTTACGTTTATTTCTACCATCGTGGACCCGCATTTTCCTGGGGTCAATCAGCGATGAATTTGTGATACATGTTGTCTTCCACATAGGCCGTTACATAACTAAAATATCTTTTATAACTTTGGTGATAATATTTCTAAGGATTGTTTCAAAGCTCATCAAAATAATCCTCCTGAACTACTTACTGTTACTTGTTAGCCAAGTTTCCGTCTCGCCCTTCCGAGTGCCATTTCTGTTGTCTGAAAATCGGTCCGTTCGGCGCATGTGCCATGGAAATTTTATATATATAGAATGGAAGGTAGGCTTCCTACATGTGCACTTAACGAAGATAAAAGGGACAAGCACAGTTCGCTTTTCACATTCTATAATATTACGTCTGGAGCTTTTTACAATAATACATTTTAATCCAATTTACACAGTACAAAGTGTATCAGGAAATTCAGTCCGACGATCGTACCGGCTGACAATGGCGTTCCACGCGCTCCTCATGTCATGAGATTTATCGATAATTTAATTTTTATACAAGACATATGTAACATTATATTTTTCTACATGCATTGTCTTTTCTAATGTAATTTTATATCGTGAATTGCCGTTGGTTATGCAATATTAACCTCAAAAGTAATATATGGTTTATCTCTATGCAAGTGACTTCAAGAACTGTGATATATAAATTGACTAAGTTTTGTCTATATTTTTTATTTAAATATATGTAATCAAATAACAAATAGTAGTAAATTGTAATTAAATACAAAGTGGAACAAATACGTAACATATCATTTTAAAATTAGTGTGTAAAATAATTGTGATATAGTTAAATAATTTAGGAATATAAGATATATAGTAAAATAGTTGGCTGGTTCATATAATAAAAGAACTGAATAAATTTTCTGTTGAATTCAAAATGGATACGTTAGATATGGATTTTTATTTAGACTTCTTCGTAAAGGTAAAATATAAATTTATTAGTAAATTAGTGAGAATAAACAATTTATTTAATGAAAAATTATTTTTGATATTTGTGATACATGGTTTATAGTGTAAGAAATATGTTATTTTTATAATTAAACAAAAAATAGTTGGCCTATTGAATAAAAATTATATCAATTTTCTGTTCAACTAGATTGTTATTTATACTTCTTCGTTTAGGTAAAATACTTCAAACAAAATTATTAATAATTAAAATTTACATAAAAAACTTAAGGTAAATTAATAATCTATAATAAAAACATAATTGCGATAATCTTTTGCCTATATTTCTAATATATGTAATGTTTTTATAATTAAACGAAATGTAATTTACAGCTTAAATTCATTTTAAATTAGAATAAAACTAAGTCAATTTTCTGTTGAATTCAAAATGAATAGGTACGATAGATATAGATACTTAGTTATACACATTTACAAAAGAAAAAAAAATCAAAGCCATTTATCATTTTTTCCATTATACATATATCAAAAGAGTCGTTCAGAATATAAATTAATTCAATTTAAATAATGAAAAAATCTTTGCAATTTTTTGCATGTCGAGCTCGTTTTTAGTGGTAAAAAGCTGTGACTTGCAACCACAAAGTTTCAGATTCTAATTTTTGTCGGACAGATTTATATCGAGCAGTAGTGTCCACTCTAATCCATTTCCACTTAGAAATATAGATCCAAGTGAAAAAAACACAAACTAGTTTATCACAACTACGAAGGATAACCATTGGTTTCCTTCGTGAACAGTTTGTAAATATTTTTATGTAATAAGTCATATTGTAATTCAGTGTAAATAATTATTTCTACAACAATGTTCTTCATCTAATTTGTTTACAAGCTTAAGATGAGTCGATATCTGCGTACCTTCCCCGTTACCATTTTGCAAATAACGTGTATCTAATAGTGTGCAATTTACTAAACAAACTCTACGCTAATTTGCTTAACAGAAGCCATTAGATTCGAAAATATTTACCTCCGCAATGGGACTTTATTGTATTAATACAATATCTAATTAGATTACGTGCTTAATCTTCTTCAAACTTTGGTCAGTGTTGGTTCATTTGTTGCACGGAATGCCATTTAGTGATGTGACTTTTATTAACATCGTGCGAAAGTTCAAGGCCGCCCTTGGAATAAACTGGTAACGGAAATTGTGAGCTCTGGGTTGATCAAGTGAGGTCGGCGGAATTTGATGGGACCACCGGCATAAAACTGTGCGAAAACTTTCCGCGAATCGAACAGAAAACAACAGAGGATTTACTTTACTATTCTTGGTCTAAATACGAATTTAGGAGACTATAGAAATGTCGTAAACTATACATGCTTGTTTGTTCGGCTTTAGGGAAAGCTAATAGGTGATTACTTCCTTATTTTTTTGAAATTGTAAATGGTGAAGGTAGAGGATACATGGATACATATTACTACTTCATGTCTAAATAGAAATATGTATCATATTTTAATATTATTGATTATATTTAACTTCCAGTAGGGTAAGTTATTGTAATCGTCCAAAAATCGAAATTGAAAATTTTCACATTTCTCGATGTTTTGAAGGTTTCTGAACATTTTGGCATACTTCAGAAAAAATGGATGTGTGTGTGTGTATGTATGTATGGATACAATTTTTCGTCCACGTTTTCGGGCGCACGGATCAACCGATTTGAATGGTTCAAAAAACATTAGATTCCTTGATTGGAAGATGTGCTGATTAGTTTTTGGCAAAGGCAGGTCCAGCCGTTTCGGAGATACGGAGCAAAGAGTGCATAAAATAGATAGTGAGTTTTTGAAAGAACGGAGCATCCGATTTGAATGATCTAAAAAACATTCAATTAGTAATGATTGGGAGAAGGGGTGATTAGTTTTTGGCAAAGGCAGGTCCAGCGGTTTCGGAGACCGAGCTAAATGTGCAAAAAATGGCAGTTTTTGAGATAACTAAGCGTCCGATTTAAATGGTTCAAAAAACTTTCTGCTTGTTTTAACAAAATAATTGATTCTGGAAAAAAAATTGTTTCAATTTTTTTTTTCAAATTTTTTTTCTTCAAGAAAATTTTTTTTGTATATCGAAAATAATTCAGATTTTATTTTTAATTTTGACTAAAGTTCTAATATACTTTAAACAAATAATTTCAACTTTGCAATTCAGTTTATATAATTCTTATAAATATTAGACAGTGTTACAATATTTATAATCTATTTGAAAACATTCAATATTCTTCAAACATTTCGTTACGGTACGGGAAGTTCCAGCAATTGCCTTAAGGCACGATGCGCCACACACCCCAGTAGTTATTTGTTGAAATATTGAACTGATTAATTAATTAAAAAACTGACTAACTAAAAATTACAAGTTTATTAAGTAAATTATTATTCCAGAGCCTCCTTTTCATCAAACGTCAATATTTAAAAAAAATAAAAAAATGATTTAAAAAAATCGGATAATCATATGAATTTATTCAAAAATACCCAAAAGTATATATTGGATAATGGGAAATTTGCTAAAAATTTACCGGTAGCAATTATAAACCTAAAAAAGCGGATTAAATAATTTTTAACACTATGTCTTACAAACGTACGAGTTTCGTAATCGACAGGGGACGAAATATCGAATTAGGCTGTATATGGGGTAATAGTGTATGATATCTAGACGAATTTTTAAATACTATAGTATCTATTATACTAAAACATAATTCCTCTTGATTGTGTGTAACTGATCGATACTTTCTTTCGCCAGTATTTGGATATCGGTGAAGACCTCAACGTGCCGGACGATTTCACACAATCGGAGATGCAGACGGGAAAATGGTGGCGGCACCTCGTTGCTGGCGGAGTCGCCGGCGCCGTGTCCAGGACGTGCACCGCTCCCCTGGACAGGATAAAAGTATTCCTTCAGGTAAGGGATAATTGGATCTACGAACTACTATATTGTTATTATTAATAATTATTTTTCTATATACTGCTATAAGTTGGTTCTGGCCCAGTGGTAATATTTTATTTCCTATTGCAGGTTCAAACACAGCAGCTTCGAATAATGGATTGCTATCGATGCATGATGAAGGAAGGAGGTATGACCGGGCTGTGGAGAGGAAATGGTATAAATGTTCTCAAAATTGCACCGGAATCTGCAATCAAATTCGCAGCATACGAAAAGGTATTTCTAAGATTTAAATTTATAAATGTAATTTACTAGTTTCGTATTTAATACTATTTTCAATCTGATTTCCCCCCTAGGTGAAACGTATTTTACGCGGTGAGGGCAACAGCACGCGAGTTATGGGCATTGGAGAGCGATTTGTTGCAGGAGCGACAGCAGGTTGCATCAGCCAGACCGCTATTTATCCTTTAGAGGTTCTAAAAACGCGGCTGGCGCTCCGAACAACGGGACAATATGCGGGAATCGTAGATGCCGCCAAGAAAATATTCGCCAGGGAAGGACTCAAAAGTTTCTATAGGGGGTAAGATAGATCTTAATTACAAATTGCGATATTGTTAATATATATTTTCTGGAAGCAAGTTCTTTAGATCAAAAGTTTTATATGAAATTAATTCGTCGTATATATTATACATCTAAATTAAAAATATTCATTACCTACTTATTTACAAAATATTTTTATTAGCTATATTTGAAAGAGAACTCTTGCTCTCTTCTTTGCTCTTTCATATAATGAATTCTAAAAGAAACTCTCGATAGTTTTTCTCTTCTTTAATTCAAATTGAATCGAATAACGAAAATGATGAGCAAGTACATCATTATACACCTAGCACCCTTCTCTAAATTTGAAGAGTGAATCCTTCCCATTATTTTATTAATTATATATTATTTTATTTTTACCATTATAATTTATATTTTCTATTTTAGGTATGTTCCAAATATGTTAGGAATAATACCATATGCGGGAATTGACTTGGCGGTTTACGAGACACTAAAAAAGAAATACCTTAAGACTCATTCATTAAATGAAGAACCTAACTTTTGGTTACTATTAGCATGTGGGTCAGCTTCTTGTACACTAGGACAAGTTTGTTCATATCCACTAGCTTTGGTTAGGACGAGGCTACAAGCACAAGGTAAATACAAAATTGATTTTTCTTATTATATATGTTTTTACTATTATCACGTTTATGATTGTTTGTTCATTTTAGTAACGCCTACTCCTGAATCTGGCACAATGTCGGGGATGGTTAAAACAATACTTCAGAAAGAGGGTCCGCTTGGCCTGTATCGAGGTATCACGCCAAATTTCATAAAAGTGATGCCGGCTGTGTCCATCAGTTATGTGGTATATGAATACTCCAGTCGAGCCTTAGGTGTCAACATGACATAATGGATCTTTTCATGACTGTAGGACAATTTCTTTTAATCATAATCTGCACTTGTACAGAAGAAAATTTATTTATTTGTTTATATCATACTAAGTTATTCGCTCGATTAATCATGCACATAATAATTTATTTCTAGTTTATTTGTATTATATATTTGTACGTTTAGCATATATTTTATTAGGCAAAACTGTTTTTATATTTATTGATATATTTGTGTTATCTAATAAGTATAACAATTCTCAAGTAAATCGAAATATTGCATCTTATTTTAAATGAAAGATCGATATGTACCTAATGTTGCATGACATTTTAAATATTCCTAAAATTTGCATACACAGCCAAAGTACATTTCAGACAAATTTATCAAACTGGTGCTAAATTGTCTGGTTGTACCTAATTGCTAAGGCTAAGGCACAAATATACCAATTAAATCTAATTTGAAATTAATTTTTAGGCATATTGAAATTTACGAATCGAAATTTATATTATAACTTAAAAATTTAACAAAATGCTCTTCTATTGTTCATTCTAAATGGACGGTGCTAGGTATAATGAACTAGAAATGAAAATTTTATCTTATACAAAGACATATACATATATAAATATATTTTTCATCTAGTTGTGGTAAAGTGTCCATGTTTTTACTTCCTGAAAAAGAGTGAATCGTCATGAGTATCAAACTTGTTTAAGGTCAAACCTCTCTTTTACAGAATATTAACTTAAATGCAACTTAATTTTTTATAGAATGATTATTTGAATGCAGTATGAATGTTATTTATATGATTCTATATTAGAATCTTTATTGTATGTTTCTGATAATTGTTTTTTACTTTGTAAACAAAAGTGGTGCTTAAATTTTCTTTATTTTAAGTAGTTTTTTTTAAATATCTATACTTATAATAATTATAGGCAATTTTATAATCTGTATAGAGGTAATTCTTAGTTTATATTGTAAGCAAATATTTTGATATGTTTGCAATATAATTTAGTTTTGTGAAAGACGAGGTGGAAATTGGCAATTGTACGTATTAGAACTAGTCTTATGTGACAATAGGGGAATAGAATATAGTCTGGTTTCTAACATTCCATTTCTGAACTGTTTTTTTTGGTTTAAACAGTTATCATTGATCGGAATTTGCAATATTTTGCCAAAAAAGAATTTGTAAACAAGGATATTGTATGTAACATGGACTGAAACTCATGACCCAGTGATAACTACTATAATGTAATTAGATAGCAAATAATAATTAATATGAATTCTTTCAAATATAAAACATTTATGCATTTTTTCATGATTTATTCAACCGTACCTAGGACACAATGAATAACGTTAAAAAAACTTATTTATATTATAGTTTCATTTATATTACATTTTGATTTAATATATCGATTCCATCTTTCAAATTTATTGCTATAATTGCATTTTACATTTAACTTGTTGTTCTATCAGAATATTTAACAGAGTTATTAAATGAATCTGTTAATTACAATCTTTAGAAATAATTAGGATTTTAAAATTTTGAAAAGATCTGTGTGCATTTGAGAACACTAAGTGACCTCTTGCTTGTAACAGATATTGTCTATTGTTGGTTCTTTAAAGAAACAAATTTACTATTTGATCTTAATTGTGGTTTTATTTTAACACCTACATTCCCCATTAAAAAATCACACTTTTAGTAATAAATTTTAGCGCGAATACAAATGTTTCATCTTCAATTGGTTTTATAAATGGGTTAATTTTCACTTCCCAAAGGAGAAATTTATTGTCATAAAATCCGAATTGCTATTTTTTTTTCAATATTTCAAATCAATTGCAATTATTTTAAATTAACACAATTACAGATGTTATAAGTTTTGTTGTATACAATCGGTAATTGCATTGAATAGTTGAAAATTTTGTAAACAGAGTTGATTCAGTCGATTGTATTTTACAAAATGCAACTTACACCTAGTTTTTTATGATATTGCATTGTATAGCAGTATGCTGCTTTTGTCAATGTTATAAAATACATATGTGCTGCAAAACGTAAACAAAATATAAACATGTGTTGTCGCCGAAGTAGGTATGAAAACGGGGCCTATTATGTTGCATTGAAATTAAAACAATTTGGACGTGCGCTTGAATAAAACTGGTGTGTTTTAATTCTTTGTCGATTTTAATCGGTCGCCTGAAGAATTTTCATCACGATTGCCAAAAGAATTTATTTGCGATAAGGTACCGCGATATGAATGATGTTGCATTGCTGAAGTTCCGCAAAAATCTACTCGAGTTTAGTGTTAAACGGTAAATCTTGTCGGGGACATGTATGTCACACTGATTGTGTTGCATACATCTTTTTAAAATGTTAAAACGTTAAACCTTACAACGCACGTGCTCTGGTTGCTGATGATCGAATTCCCCTGGTGAAATGTCGAATTGTGGGAGTCATGCGGAGTACTTGACCCCGCTTCAGTTTAGTTAGAACAAACCGATCGCGAAATTCACATCGATCGATCGAATTTTTATATAATAGTGTTATTGATTTGGTTGTTTAATAAAATATGTATTTGTGCTCGTGTCCCATACAGTGCTCTGCGGCCACCATCAGGGCGTGCGGAACTCTTGTGTCCAGGATGAAGCGCTCCGCTAGCTGCTACGAGGTAAGATAAATGATAAATGATATAATTTTATCTTGCTAGTAGACATTATAACGAAAATAATTTAAACATGTCCTTTCCATAACCTTGTATCTAGATGTGCGTAGACTAAAAGCGAGAAATACTTCTAAAATTTGAGGATAATTTGAGAATCCTAGGCAAAAAATTATATGCACACATTTGACGAAAAATATATTACTTTATTGGTGATATTATTGCAGCTTTTTCCCAAACACACTATTTTGTGAGGTCCAGTAGGTTTATCCCAATCGCCAGAATGATCTCTGAATATATGGAATATTATAATAAACCTGGGTGGATTCATTTATAATTGATTTACCTTTTTTATTCTCTATTTATTTTATTGTTTCTATCAATATCCCGCTTAATTTATTATTAGTTGTCGTTTGCTGATTTCTTATTTATTTAACAAATCAGTGTCAGTGAGTCAATCGGTTCAGGCCTACTTCGAACAAAATAGATTGTTAATTAGAATCGATTATTATTCCGTCCATGCTGTACGTGTAATAAATATATACAGACAGTTCTTTAAGTCATACAAATGAGCTTGACGAAAGGATATTATTCTTAATAACTTAATGTTTTGGGTCTTATCATTATTGAGGACTAAATTATTTTCACAAAACCATTTCGTTATTTGTGGTTATGTCAGAAATAACGAAACGGTTTTGTGAAAATAATCTAGTCCTCAATAATGATAAGACCCAAATCATATCTTTTTGTACAAAAAATCGTTTATCCAATAATATTACTTCTTTAACCATCAATAATTCAGCATATAATTTTTCGCAAGTATCAAAGTTTCTTGGTATCCACATTAATAACAATTTAAAGTGGTCTGGTCTGATCATATCTCTATCTCACTATCACCAACTTTATCTAGAACATGCTTCATGTTGCGCACCCGAAAACCCAAACTTGGTTTAAATTGCTTACTTTCAATTTATTATAGCAACTTTTATTCTCACGTTTCATATGGCATCCAATTTTGGGGTTTTTCATCCGAACTAATTAAAATATTTAAGCTTCAGAAAAGAGCTATTCGAATATTTTTTTCCTTGCCCAGTAAAGCTTCCTGCAGACCCATATTTAAAAAATACAATATTCTAACTGTGTCATGCATTTTTCTGCTGGTAACATTATCTTTAATCAAAAACAATTCGAAACTTTTTGATATGGCTTCGTCCTCAAACTACAACACTAGACACGAACTTATTAAGGCGCGCACATATAAATTAGGCAGCAGCCCTTTCAATACGATCGACGGTTTAGGTATTCAGCTTATGAATAAACTTCCACTCAACATCCGAAACTTAACAGCAAAAAATTTCATGCTTCCCTAGTTAAACTTTTTAAAGAATTTTAAAACTTTTTATAACATTACTGAATTTTATCAATTTGATTTCAATAACTATGTTCTTGCATAATCCTTATCCTTTATCTATATAGTCTGACCATTTGATCGCCTGTACAACCCTGTTTTCTTTTATTTTTTTATTGCTATTTTATTAATTTAAAATTTTTTACGGTTTTAAATGAGTATAACTTTCAACCTTGTGCACGAATTTTGAGCTTGACTGGTGGTTAAATAGACAATATGATGAACTTGATGATGAACATTGTATTTAATGTTCGAATGCTTTTTTTCAGTAGCGAAATTCGTGCAGCTACTATGATTATTATAAAATTACTATCCTTTTAATATTAACTATGAATAGGCTTGACAAAAGCCTGAAATAATATCTATCATTATTGATTACGGCTTGCTTATGAATAAATAAATAAATAAATAAAACTCTTATTAAGTATTTTACTACTACTCTTATGGAATTTTATTTTTATTCTTGCTCTTATAAAATCTTATGAAATTTTAATTTTCCTCTTATCAAATTTTACTCTTACTCTAATCAAAGGTTACTCTTACTCTTGCGAAATTATTTACTCAAGAGTAAGAATAAAATATGATATATACGAATAGATATTTTGCATAATCTCCCATACCATCACCAATTATACAAAATATATCGTATAAAAAATCTTATAAAATAATATGATGATGAATAAAAACGAAGTGCTCGTCCGTGTTCACGTGTTTACTTAAAATGATCAATTATTTCGTGAGTCATAATCGGTGGTGCGGAGTTCGGCCGCCTCCTTCGCCCGTACCTGTCCGCCGACACCGGCGGCGCGTTCGGCAACTGCCGGCGGTCGGTCGGCGGTCGGTCGGCGGTCGGTCGGCAGTCCACTCGACGCCGTAGCGTTCGGCTGTCACATACGCGCACGTTACGGAACATAACATCAACTGAAACATGAAAAATGGTTAACTTAAAACCGTAAAGTTACTGTGAAAATACAATTAAGACATTTTCCAATGTTTGTTACGTTTTTCCCAGTGCTTAGGTATGTGAAGTGCCAATTTGCCACTTGTTAGATAATGAACGACAGTCCCATGTTGTTGTTCGGTGATGTGATTGTTTCCAAGGATAATGTATTAAGTGTCAACTTTGTTTTGAACACGTGCAACAAGTTATCCTGAAATGGCTTACGTTGTTTGGAGGGTTTTGATGAAGAAATATTGCAAGGTTCGATTAGGAATACAACGCAATCCGAATTTGGTGAGTCGATGCTTGTTGATTTGTAAATGTCCATAAAAATAAAAATTATGT